GTCCGGTGTGGAAGTGAAAATGCAAGCATGACTGACCAGGTGTAAAATGGGAAATGTTTTATCTCTTGGAATATTTTTAACCGTATATGGTACTGAACAGTCCAAGGTCATTATTTTCTGTTTACATTCCTTTCCAATGAAAACAATTTACATTTCCATTACGCCCATAACTACAAAGGAACTCAAAGTAGGTGCGTCCAAAACACATCACATTTAAATGATGATAATTTACGTGTTTTGGGGTATATACCATTAGTAGATGATATACATCCTACATGCCCGACCATTCCTTATTTTAACTAGTTAGCATTACTACTTACTGAAAAAAATGGAACGTTGAATTGAATCAGACTGTGTTTGTCAAAAACCGTTCCCTGAGACATTCGCGTTCAAAAAATATTTTTGACTGTAGCAATATGACACCGTGATTATTGGTTTAAATGCTCCCAGGGATGTTATTCAAAAAGCAAAGCCTTTGGTAAATCTTGATCTTTGCCTAAAAATCAGGATATAAGAAAATCAAGAGAGGTAAAAGCAATTTGAAGCAGAGTTTATCTATTTCACTTGGTCTGAAACCATAACTATTTTTCCACCAATTATTTGTTACTGCAAATGGTTTCCTTACCTAACTTGTTCAATTTGTTTATGCATGGCACAGAGGATTTTTTCAACGTCACTTTCAAGCGTCTTCATTAAAGAACCAGCAGTTCCCAAAAAATGGATTCAGGTTCCAAAACAAGAACAGTTTATTTAAAATTTTCTTCACTATTTGGGTTTAGCATTTGATAAAATATACTTCCCATCTGTTTTGGTTTCCAGCATTTTATCCAAAATCCTACTTTTGAAGTCATTGAACAAGTATAAACAACAAGCATTTGAAGTAAAAATATATCGTTAAATCTCTAATAATTTTCTAAGATCCCAAATGATTTGGTCTGGCCATCAAAGATTGCTTCAATGTTTATTTTTTGTTCGAGGGTTTCCTAATTCGCAGGGGCTACTACCGTCAGAAATAAATTGATAAATGGGCAGGGAAATGTTTCAGCTGACGCCCTTACCCTGAAGATTTAAACATGGATAGAGGAAGCAAAACACTAAATACAATTTAAAACTAAATGGTTCAATATGCAGCTAAGTATCTAATCATTATTTTGTAATCAAGTGAAGGTAAGGTAAGGTAAGGTAAAACAACACCTTCGAGGTGTATTCGGCAAGTGCCGTAAAGCGTTTTAAAGGTTGTCCTTTTGGCCGTCCATCTGTTTTGTTAGAAAACGTGGAAAGATGGACGCATCGTTTCGATTAGCAGAATTCCATTGGTTCCCAGGTATATCCGTTTCAGTGACTCACGCTTTTCTCCAATACCTAAGCACGCGTAAACTATACTGCCCGTCACGTGTATGTTGGCACATCACCAACTCGACTGCCAAGTGGCTGACTCACACAGTCACTACGGCAGAGCCGGAAAAGATGCTCCGGATGTTTCTCCCATACCACCGGTCACCTAATTTTAGAGCGGTCACTACAGAATCGTCTTTATGTGCACTTTTCAGATGTGCAAACGGAGCGCCATATATGGGGGTGTTGACGGGGAGGAAGGAAACAAAGTCAATTTGAATAGCCATGGCTCGGTTCGGCCAGATATGTAGACGAAGGGTCAGAACGAAAGATAAAACTGTTGACATGCCTGTTTGCTGGATTTGAGCCGTCATCAGTTGTGGTTTAAGTCTGTCTTTGCGCATTTGCGTTGTTGTTGTTCGGCTGGTGTGTGCACCCATAGGATCCGCCGAATTGCTGTTGACCTCGTACGAACCGGAAATGTGTGTTTTTTCAGAGCGTGTTTGTTGTGGCGACAGTCAGATTGTCAAACCGGTCAAAATCATATGGACACGAACTATCGGAATGTGAAGAGCAATGCACAAGAATATTCAAACGGATTTCCCGATGAAAGGGCAAATATCTTAGCTTTTTATCGCACGAAGAACAGACTCTTGCGCGTCGTTTTGCCAATGATGAGTGAAGGTTAATTTCATGTTGAAATTCTATTTAAACCCTACAAATATTGCCATCTCCATCGGCTGCGCGAAATAAACTTTCTGATATTTTCTACAATGTGAATGATGGCTTTTCATCTGAACCCTTGGGGAAAACGCTCCGTATGTTAGCAAAAGAATAAATTAGGAAGATGAATTATCCACAATAATTCTCTGAACAGTTCGTTGCTCAGAGATGTCTGATAACAACCTGCGTTCCGCTTCCCTTCCCTTGTTACTAGTTGCCAAATTGCTGCTTTGTAATTTGATAAGGAAGGTCATTTATTGTGCTGTACTGTCAGTGATCAGGATGATATTCATTCTCATATCTACCACCTTCTCTTTCTAACCCCAAATATTGGTTTAGCGGTTTTCGGGCAAAAATTAAATTTTAGTATTTACTCACATGCCCACCTAAACGTGAAATGAATAAATATTTTGAAGTTTTTGGGCTTAATATAGCTTAGATGGATCACGTTTCCTGCATTTATTACTGGTCAACAGATTGCATTTGAAACAAATGATGCTTCCAGCATTACAAGCTCTGCTTAGTTGTTTCGATTTCCGGTTATTGAGTTAGTATATAAAAAGAAAATAAGACTTCAAATTCAAATTTGGAATAAAATAACTGTAGTTCCGCTTTCTTCGATGATAAAGTGAGTGCCAGAAAAGGTACATCGTAAGCAGAAACTCAGTAACCTTAATCCATGCGATATGACATTTTAAAACTGTTGACCAATTCGCCCTGATGACTGCAGTCTTCACTGTTCACCTATTAATAAAGAAAGCATTCAATGGATATTATAATTGTAGGTGACTTCCGGTTACCTTCCTTCTGTTATGACGCTATATGTTCTCAAGTCCTCTTAGTTGACAAGGATCGGGGGAGTGCTCCAGTTCTCTTAAATCTTTTAAGATCTCAGGAGTGGAATACCTCTCATGCACATCAACCCGAAAACGTGTTATCTGTCATCCTCAACTAATTATATTTATGGACTGCCGGGAATGAACAGTCGTCGGACGTCATGTCCATTAACTTACATTTTACACCTTGGAATTCTATTCCTGATCGGAATCACATCATCACATCATCCATGCGATTTCACACACGGCATCAACAACATGGGGCTTGTTTCTTTGCTATCACTGGGCTTTGTCAATACAAGGATGTCCAATCGTTCAATAACTCGACGCGAACATTTTATAACTTCCGTCTAATCATAATGTAGTTCCAACTGGGATGCGTCCTGAAGTCCCTAAAAGCATCCGAGAAATACACTACACTTAACTCTTTCTTTGAATTTCATACCAATATCACCGCACTTTGCAGAGAATGACAGATAAAGTGTTTTGTGAGCTGCGTCAAAATTGCTTTTCGGTTGTGATATTAGCACCTTGATCGACGCACTAGCAATTGTGATTGAAAACTTTTAGTTCTGTTTGAAGCTGTTTCGGGCTGTGATTGTGTTGTTGCTATCTTGTGCTTACCCGAACTGCAGGGAATTCGAGATTGACGACAGGAAGAGAATATCCGCGCCCTCCATCGTTCGGAGAACTATTTTCTTCGGAAGAAAGCACCAGTCAAGCGAGCTACCGAAAGTACGTTGCTTTCATTTATCCAAAACGTTCGTGAGAAACAACAGCAAATTTATTCCTAAAAGCAATATGATGGTCAGTATTAATCAACTGTCCTCAAACGAGTTACTAGGGAATAGTGAGTAAAAGTTCCTCTACCTTTACCCATTTTGATCATTTATGTATATCTTCAGACAGGTCATATGTGGCCGTGACCCGCTGCGAGGCGTGGTTAATAGAATGACGTTCTTAGAATCGCAGCCAGCCAGTAGTAGTTGCTGTCATTGAAAACCTGCCTGCATGCTTGGTGGTGGTTGGNTAATGGATTGGATAAAACTAAGTTGCTTATCTACCACTGTTCTGTAGTCAGCAGCTGAATGCGATTATCTGAACGTCGTTAAGTTAATCATACCACGCACTGTACATTTGCATAATCAATATGAATAAATAAGGAAGCGTAACAGCCAATTATTCAGTAACGTTGAACTTGTCTTCTGTCACGTACATAATGACAGACGTAAAGCGCAAATAATCTACCAATCTTAATGAAAGTAATAATGACCTGTGTGACTGAGATATACACACTTTTGAAGCCTGTTAGACAAGTCAGACTACAGAATTGCTTTCGTTTTTTTTTACTATGACACTCCTGTTCGCAAACGAACCCTTTTGTAGTGGAAAAATATTTTGATTTTGATTTTGACCTGCGCTCCACTAGTGGAGAACATGCTGTGTTTGTTGTTATCTTCAAGGAAGTTGTTAGTTTAGGGTTCACTCACCTTAGCAATTGTTACTTGCCACCGACTTCTCCATGATTGCACATGATTCGTTAATATCCACGTGAGGGATTGCAGGTGCGTGCATGTTACCAACAACTGTCGTCAACTGATGTCTGCGTGTAGTAAAAATACAAAGATTGTCCTGGAGTTTTTAAAGACCATATATTCCCCCATTAATAAGTACACTGGAAGTAACAGGCGCCTGACCTTGTTATTGGAGATAAGATTAGATTTTATTCGCAATGACCGGCGATCGTTTCCAAATATTTCGTCGCATTAGATAACTTCTTCGTTCACAGTAAAAGATCTCAGTGCATGCGAATGGAGCCGTTTGGTACATTCGTTTTATTGCCTTCTATAAGTTGACAGTTTGCTGCGACTTCTAAGTCTTGCTTGAAACAAGACCGATCCGATGATAGTTACTTGAGCTAGTCTCGTACTAGTAGCTCAACTGGCGTGAATTATGTAACCGTGCACAAATGTGGCTTAATTTTCGATAGCGCATCTATGACCAAGTGAACAAACTAAACCTATCTACTTCAATAAATGCGCATAAAATTTAACTTCCATTAGGAAATCATTTAAATCAATACCTGTACAATTCTTCCTAATTTAGCTCCAACAAGCATGTCTCGTCTGACTATTCTGGTTACAATCCGGATCAAAACCAGCAACTATCGACCGATATGCTACCAAAACACAACCCGGTTCTGTCTTTACAAAGTGAGTAACATTTGACAGCATATCTGCAGCCTATGTTAACTTTTCTATCCACTTTTATTATACCATTTTGGAGTATATGAAAAAATTGTGATTCATTTCGCATAAACACACTCTGTGACTCACGATTTATATTTTATGAAATTTCCACTTTTATACAATTTTTGGTATAGTGCAGAATCTTTATGACATTACTATTTTCAAATCATCACCATTCACAGCAAATCTTCATATTACTAAATCCCATGGTTGTTTTCTGTTATTGTCATTGTTCACCTAACAACGTTCCCTTCACTGGTGTTCCATTACAGAATCATTGAATGGATCACAAATGCATTTAAGATGGTCCGGCCGAGCTGACTCGTACGGAAATATCCGACACATCGACAGCGAAGGTAGAGTTTTTTAGTGCTTTATGAACACTATAAAAATATCCCTTATATTTTGAATCATAAATGATCGTCCCACCTTGTAGAACCAAGTTCATAATAACTTTAAGCCGAGATGACAACTTTTTTGAACAAAATGTTATATACGATTGGCTTGGATGTGACAAGCAAAGCCTCTGTCAGCCCAAAAAACTCAAAAATGCACAGTGAATGTATTTCAGTGGAAATGTGCACACGCTTGAAGATCCTTCCCAACTAACAAAAAGCTAAAACCATCCAGCTAATTTTCATTCAGTGATCACTTTTAATTTTATTTTGGCTATTTGACATCCAATGTGTGCCTTGTGGCTCTTAGCGGATAACAAACTCAAAACCAGTAGTTCCCATTCCTCACCTATTTCACCACCTTTGAGCTTTTTGATAGTATTTTAAATTTAAATTGTTGTCACATTTAAGGAATGCTAATCGCTATTTTGTCTTTCAATCTCTTTATTTTTAAATTGTGTACTATTCTTCCACGTCCAGATTTCCCAGTTAGCATGATTGGCAATTAAATGATTCCGTTGGAATTGCTTTGTTACTCGTTCGAGAACTGTAGGATGAATTTATTCGGGTATCTAAAATCTAAAATTCTGCTAAAGGATAACGCGAACAACGACATTCACATTAGTTGGCATCCAATTACCGAGAACATTGAAAACTTTTGTAATACTGTTGGATTCAATGAACGATTGTATTATTCTTCTACCACCAAAGGAAACATCTATCCGCTCTTCCCAAATAATGCAGTGGTTACGAAAAACTGCAAACATATTACTCTTTGCAACGTCACTCACCTCGCCGTTGTCACATTCGAAAAAGAACAATTCAAATGCATGACTTTTATGGCTTACTTTACGCTATCAGAACCCCGTCCATACGTTTTTCGTTTGCTAGGCAACTGTGATTCGCAAATTAGGCATAAGTGGTAGGCTGTGCTTAATACTGCTTTCTTTTCAGTGATTATATCACGTTTCAAATTGAGTTTTTGCTTGGAAAGCGCTTTCAATGGCAAACAGAGTTCTTCTGATTTGGAATAACCTATAATCTATATATAATATATATATAATCTATATATGCAAACGTATATCATATGATGTATCGATCAAAAGGCATAATTGATTCTCTGTTTCCAATGATTCGTGTTCTTTGCCTTTAGTTTAACTGAGCATTTAATAGTCTATGAACTAGCACAAACACAGCAGCAGGGAAAAGTTTCATCTTTGATAGTATATCAGGTGAGGTTAATTATATTTCTTCAATTCGCATTTGTTTGTTCCAAACGTGAGATAGATTTGCAAACTCGTCGCCCATGTATGATGTTTATTTCTCGCCACTCAATGTCACGAGGAGAATTTGATGAATTAAAATGAAAACGGCACTTTTCATCAAGATAAGACCTAATCAAGTAGCAGTAAGCAACTTAACTCGATAATGCGTCTAGGCAGAGTAGTAAAAATCTCAATTATTTGCCTCCCCCCCACAGTTTTAACTCTTGCTTGATAGTCTGGAATATTTCTAGGGTTTCAGATATTGCTGTTTTCCATTGGAAATCTCAGACGGCAAATAATGACGAACAGAAGTTCCTTTCATCCTTTTCATTCGCATGATGATCATTATGCAAATCTTACTACCTCTTTTTTTAAACTAGTCGACCTGTTGGACGTGAAATCCACCCCGTGCATCGATACACTCGACAAATATCCGGTAGTAAAATCGAACTCACCATCTGAAATCTACTCAGCTTATCCTCCACAGTGTGCATTCTCTTCCGAACCGCGGCGTGTTAAGGGAGACCTGTATAGCTCACCTGAACGCGTTCTACCACGAAAAATTGCGTCCAGCTCTCCGGCAAGATCTCTTATCACGTCCGCACAAACCCGGACATTGATGTCCCCATTGATGGAACGATCGATGGAGGATGAAGAAGTTCGATACGTGCTCAGTCAGCCATCGCGCTTGTAAAATGCTCTAGCCATCTGCTTTTTGTTGACTTTCCCCAATGTGCTTCACTCTTTTCGCCACACACCTATTTAGAAAGATATTTCGTTGAGCCTTTTATTGTTTCCTTGTTTCATTCGTTTTATTTCTTCTTTTTATTTGTAATTTACTCTAAATTTATCAAGTTAATTTTGTATAGCCACTGTGATTTTCAGCCCCACCCGCTAACCTTCCAAGTACCTCGTCTACAATGTAAATATCATTCACTCACTGACACAGTCACAAATTGTAATATATTCAATTTAAACTATCTTATCGAAAATAAATTGGCACTTCCAAAACGTTGTACTCCCTGGGCCATCAAGTAACTCACAAAAGGGGAAGTAGTTGAATGATCACAAATCTAATTAAATGCGTATATTCAGTTCAAACACTCTGTATTAAATTATTGCCCCTGGATTGGTCGTGACTCATGTTCTGAAAGTCAACCGTAAAGTTACGTATCGAACAAGGAAAAAGTTCAGAAACATCCCGCGTTGTAACTGGGCAGCAGTGGGAGATTTGAACGAATCACATGAGCAATGTCCTCCCATACACGTAGATAGCGCGCAGCTTCCGTCTTGTACCGCTCACGTTTTCTTTGCACTATTTACAAAGACTTTCCTCTTTTANGCTTCCTTGTAACAAATTTGCTAGTTCGAAATACTTCAAAACTCGGCAGTTGGAGTGAAGATAAAAGAGAGGAACAGACCACAAATGGTTAACTCAGTTATTAGGTGCGTTGTACGCTTTCATTCTAAAAATGAGCTCTCGATTTGATGGATTTCCACTTTTGTGGAGACGCAACAACTTCAAAGGGCTTTTGCTGTGATTTCAGTCACTATTGGGATGTGGATACGACAAAAACACTTATTTTCATAACACTTCCCTAAATGGATAGAATACAGCTCTCCTAAACACTGTTACTTTTCTCCGATAAGTTCATATCAGCATTTTATACCACACTGATTGTTATCACACATTCTACTGGAAGGCACATGGTGAAGAAGACGGAAAACACTTC